TCTCTGTGAGTTCAAGGCCAGCCTGGTCTACATAGTGAGTTCAAGGCCAGCCTGGTCTACATAGTGAGTTCCAGGACAGCTGGGGCTACAGGGAGACCCTGTCTCAAAAAGACCAAAAAAGAAGGAGGGAGTCAGGAGAGACAGATGAGCTTGGTCTGACTTTCAGATCTACAAAGCAACATTGGCAGAACTTTCTGCAAGAATTGGGACAAGCCAGGCCCCCTAGGAGTGCAGGCCCAGGTGCAGGAGTACATGGGCACCTAGAGTACAGTTTCACTGTAAGTTTTGTGGGTTACAGGGCTGGGACCCTGTAGGTGCCCAGTGGCCTCTGCTAGAGTTTGTCTGCCCCTTTCTGGGGAAGGGGTGTTAGGACTGTTTCCTCATTAGAGGAGACAAAAGCCAGTGTTCAGAGTTGCCTTAGTAAACTTGAGGGCACACGAGTCTCTGGAAACAGCATAGTCTCTGTGCCATCACATACCTACAACCCTCCTCCAAGCGATGGAGGAAACTTTCCTAATTTCTTCCAGATGCCTACCTGCTCTGTTTGGTGCCATGTCCTGCAGGTGTCCTTATGCTGGGTTAGAAAACCATGTTCTAAAATGTACCTGACACACTGAGGAGAGACTGCTGTGGCTTGCTAGGGTCCCATGGGTCCCATGGGAATATGCAGGGGTGCCAAGGTACCAAGGCTTACTTTGTTCCAAGGTGCTATCCTCCCAGCCCTTCTCAAGTGCTCATCCTCCTCCCTGTTGGCCAAAAGAAAGAACCCTTTCAGCGAACTCTCTCCACAAAACCCTGGAAAAAGCTGCCTGCCTGAGACCACTGTTAGTGCTCTGTGGGGTGGCTTGTCTTCAGCAGCAGTAGGCACATGGCAGGGTGGGGTCCTGAGCCTGAACCAGGTACCAAGCTCATGGAGAAGTGCTTCCAAGTCTACTGGGAGACATGGCCACCACTGTTGGGTCCTCTTGGAGAAAGGCTGGGAAGCCTCCCAGAGGAAGAGCTGGACTCCTGCACTCTATACTGGGCCACTGTGATCAGCAGTTACTGCACTACAGTGGACACTTGTACAAGGCCTGCACAGGAAAGGTGAGCTTGGATTTGCATCCCTCTGCTCTATCTGCTATAGAGATACTCAGGTTTCTACCATCAGGACCCCATCCTTGGGTTTTTAAAAGACTCAAGGGAGAAGAGCAGGTACCCAGGGTGCCCCCCCAGGAGTTCAGGATCAGGCCCTCCCCTTGGCTGTAGGCTCTGACCACTTACACACCCTTCTACTGACTTGGGGAATGAGGCTGGACCACCTGGGGATGGGACTGTCACATGCATAAAGCTTTTATCTGTCAATACAAGATTTAAGTTATGAAAAGTTCAGTAACTGGTATTTAATGCTGATCTACTCTAAAGTATTTCTATATTTATATGACTTCAGAGACATGTAGTAAAGGTTGTCTCCTTTAGGTGACCAACATCCAGTCACACCGGAGGGTGGGGCAGATTTGTATATTTATTTTTGTCTATTCTGTAGGGTTGTATGTCCAGAATCCTAAGGTTTTTAGGATGCCTTTAGTACATTTTGAAATAAAAACGTTTTCTAGACTCTGTTATCTTCATCTTCTGCTGTAACCTGGAGATCTTGTGTGAACCTGGCATTTGGGGTGCAGAAGGGGGCACAGAGTGAGGATCCTGTTGTCAGCAGGTGAAGGAGACAGGTCTGTGAGCGCAGGGTCTGAGAAGGCTTGTCTTTGGGATCACAGTAGGTTCCAGCCCACAGTGGGATGGGCCTTGGGCCAAGAAAGGCCAGTGTTTGGGCCAGGAAGGGAACACATCTTGAGGCTAGGGTCCCTTGGGCTAAACTTCAAGGTCTCACACATGCTAAGCAAATGCTTTGCCACTGAGCCACACCTCAGCCCAGTTGCTTCTATAGCAGTCTGGCCTGTAACCTGTACTGGGAAACATTTGGAACCCTGGATGTGGCTCACTGCACACAAACTCTGCCTTTACCTCTGAGCTGCCAGGGGCCCAGGAATGAAAGGAAGCTGGGTGGGTGACCTGAGTGAACACATTCCTGACCTCCAACTCCAGTTGAAGTGTGTATTGGAGGTTGTGTGTGTGGTTGGAGGTTCAGGGGTGCCCCGCTACATTGGATTTAAGCAGGGCCCAGCTCTGAAGCTACTGGGGCCATGATCGGCACTGATTCAGCCTGGGGGGAGGGTGTTTCAAAATGTGTCATGAGATTGACAGGTTGTTTCCTCTTCTCCCTGGGAGAGCCTCAACTACCAGGGTGTGACAGGGTCCACACCACTTCCTGGACTGGGTCAGAGAAGGCCTGGTTCCTGCCTCTGACCTTGGGATATTTACTCTTAGCACCAGCCAAGCTCTAAGGGAAGCCTGGGCCCCTGAGCTCCACCCACACTAATTCGCCAGGCCAGGTGTGAGTGAGCGAGCTTAACTAGGGGTGGCTCCCGGAGACCCTGCTAATTTTGCAGAGATTTCCAGTGTCTGCCATGCATGGGGAGTTACTAACTCCATGGCAAGGATAGAGCAGAGGCTTCCTCAGGGTCTAAAAGGGGAGGGAAGACATTTAAACAAGCAGTCCCCGCAGCACCCACGTGCTCCTCCTCCATGACACACAGCACTTCACTGTGGAATGTGAGGACCACTAGGGCCCCTCCACATTCAAGGCCTTTGGCAGGACACAGGAGACTGGCTAGGACAAGGGTCCCTCTGTAGGCAGGAAGTCAGCCTGCCTAGCCTGCTTTGCTGCCCTGTCGAGAGTGTTCAACACGACTGGCTTGACTGGTCAGGGAGGCCATCGTGGTAGCCACCTGTCCAGCCTCCACTGAAACAGGAACAGCACCCATCTGAAGAATGAGGAACAGAACAGTGTGAAGTGGGTACCACCTCCAGTCCTGTTCCTCAGCTTGGGTGAGTCTCCAGAGCCACCGGGAAGTGGCTAGCTAAGCTTAGGTCGAGGACTAGGAGGCACCATGAGGGCATGGCTGGAAGGAAGCACTTCACAGCAGTCCAGGCTGAAAGTTCCAGAATATTAAGAAACAGACCAACAATAAATCCAAAGTCACACAGTTTATTGGGGGCTGGGCCCAGTGGTGGGGGGCTATGTGTCACAGTCCTCGGGGACAGCAGCTGTGATGATGAGTGAGGGCTCCAGGACGCCAGGTGTGGCAAAGCTCTCCTCCGCACACAGTCTCTGGCTAGGGAGCTGGGAGGCGAGGCCACCCTGGGCCAAGGACTCCACAATGACCTCTGCGGAACCCACCTCCAGGTCAGCAGGTGGCTGGAGTGCCACCACCACCATCTTCTCGTCCTCAATGACCAGGTTGCGGAGCTTACGCTGCCTCGGATTGTAGTTCTCCACCCGATCGTGGATCTCCATGTGCCTCCGCAGGTGGGCCTAGAAGGAGGGCAGGCTCAGAGCTGGGGGGCAGAGCGGGGGAGGGGAGACCCACAGCCCACCTACCTGCCGGGTGAACTTGTAGCCACATTCAGTGCACTGGAACTTTCTCACCCCCTTGTGCCGTCTGACATGCACCCGTAACTGCTCCACAGCTGTGGGAGGATGGGGCACTGCCATCAGAAGCAGGTAACAGCAGGGATGGGCCCTGACATGGAAGACCCAGGACCCAGCCAAGAGGCCTCGGCAGGGCCTCTGCTCCAGGCTCTACAGCACCCCGGTGGCCACCATGACCCAGGGCCTGGGTAGCCCTGCCCCTCCAGTCACGGCAGTGCTGCTCTCATCTCTCAGCACAGAGAATAGCGTCTGCTGGCTGGAAGGTTCTAAAGCGCATCTGGAAGCCACTGCTGCCCTTGACCTCTGTGACCCTCCAACCAGGGTAGCAAGAGTGTGCCCGTGTACCTTTGAAGGTCTTGCCGCAGATCTGACAGAAGTGGGGTCGGCCCTCCTGGTGACGGCTGGCCACATGCCTCAGGAGCGGCCCCTTCTCCGTGAAGCGCTGTTCACAGAACTCACAGCTGAAGGGCCGCTCGCCAGTGTGGGTGCGGTTGTGCTTGTCCAGGCTGGCTGTGGGGGACAAGGTGGGGCTCAGCTGCTGTCTTGGCCCCAGGGCAACGGGGAGGAGGGCTTGCCTCACCTTGGGTGCGGAAGGTCTTCCCACAGAGGTGGCACTGGAAAGGCTTCTCACCAGTGTGGGTACGGAGGTGCATGTTGAGGTTGGCCTTCTGGGTGAAGGCATGGCTGCAGAACTCGCAGACATATGGCCTTTCGTTCCTGCACAGGTGGAGACACAAGGTAGACATCACCACTCAGGGAAGCCACCCCGGCACTCTGCTGGAGCTGGGGAGAAGCCAGCAGGGCATGGGTGGTCCCAGGCAAGGACACCACCTCCATTCCCTGAAAATCTAGAGCTCAGGGAGTCAGGAACCTAAGGGAACTAAGAATCTTCCTCAGGAGGGAGAGCCTTACCTAGCCTGAACCCTCCCACCTTGCCTGCCCCTCCCCTCCCGACACGGGGTCACAGGGGCTGGGTACAGGGAGGAAGTCCTCATCCCCTGTGCTGACACTGTCTCTGACCATGGGCATGCAGGACCACACAAGAGAAGGGCCGACTCCCACCTGTGCTTGGCCTTGATGTGCATCTGTAGCCCATTGCGGCTTGAGGCTCGGTGCCCACACTCCTCACACACAAAGAGCTTCTCCCCACGATGCTTGAAAGCCTCATGCAGTTGTAGCTCCGTCCGGGACAAGAAGCACTTGGCACAGGTAGGGCACTGCAAGCAGGCAGGGCAGGCAGGAGTGGCACCAGGTGAGGGACAGGGTTGGGTCGCCCAGGAGCCACAGATGCCCATTCCTACTGTCCCAGCATCCAAGCACACAGCCCCAGCCCTGTCTGGCACTTACTGCATGGGGCTTGGGGGCACCGTGCAACTTGATCATGTGGCTCTGCAAGTCCTTCTTCTGCATGAACTGCTGGGAGCAGGAGGAACACTGAAAAACAAGCCACAGTCAGCTCCAAGACAGCCTGTTCCATCAGAACCCCAGCATCAGGGGATGGCGAGATGTGAAAAGAGCCCCTGATCTGAGGATGGATGGCTCCCAAGAGGTGGCAGTACTCAGTCATGTTATGCCCAGAGGAATGCTGGGCCTGCCCTGTGGAAAGATGCCCAAAAGGTTTGTGGAGAGAAAGCTGTGGCCAGTGGTCCTATCCACAGATGTGTCACTACATGGGCAAGCAAGGCAGGTTTTTTGACAACTATCAAGGTGTTAGACATCACTCCAGGCAAAGGGTTCCATAGGAGGAATCCTGAGATAGCCCCCACCAACCCCACCCAGCCCATGGCCCTGGGGACAAGCTGAGCCTGACCTTGTAGGGCATTTCTCCTGTGTGGGACACCATGTGCACTCGCAGCTCCATCCTCCGTCGGAAGGTCTCTTGGCACACGGAGCACGTGAAGACCTGGCAGTGTGAGGGGCAAGCAGGGCCAGCATCAGGGAGGGCCTCTGCCTGTGCCCGCAGCCTCTGCAGGGGCTTCCACTCGCTGCTGGGAAGTGTCTGCCTGGGGTGGGGGCCTCTAGGGTGGGAGAGGGCAACATGTAACCCACCTGCCCCAACCTTCACGAGCACTGCGCACTACCACACCAGGCCCTTCTCGGGTCCAGACAGCTGGGGACAGGGGCCCAGCTGCTACTGACCAGTCTCTTGCAAGAGAAAGGGGGTTTAGCCAAACACTGTCCACTCGGGGCAGCAGTAGGGCAGGCAGGCAAGGTGGCTATGTGGCTCTTCCCAGCAGCCTTCACCCACAGCAGCTCCCCTGTTCCAAAGCCCAAAATGTCCCTCCAGGGCTTGTCCTTTCTGCCCTTTGGACTTCTGTCTCCACTTGTACCAGGACGTGGACTTGATGACCTCCAAGGACCCTGCAGGTCTTAGTTCACAGTCCCCACCGGGTCTCCTGGGGCCCTTCCTAGATGGCAGGGAGATACACCGGTACGCTCCACCCTCAAGTACCTGGACCAGCTCCCAAGTACCTGTTCTGAGCGGTTCATGCAATTCCGGGCTTCATGCTCCAAGAGGTTCTCCTTGCGAAAGTAACACTTCCCACATTTGGGACACTCGAAGGGTTTCTCACCAGTGTGTTTCCTGCCAAGAAGAGAGGCCGCAGAGGTGCGGGTGCTGAGAGGGCTTCCGGCTCTCCTGTACCCAGTGCCTCGCCAGCTCCTGCCACAAACCCTAGCCATGTTGCACGCAGCGAAGTTCCTGAAGCCAGCCGGGGCTCACCATGTGGACTGGGTGACACCCAGGCTGAGTGTAGAGCAAGCCCAGCTGTCCCCTCCAGCATGGACCCTCAGCAAGGGACAGCGCAGGAGCCACAGGCCCACACAGTCCATGCTAAGGAGGACAGCTGGGAGCCAGGAGCCAGCCCACTCCTGCCAGCCTCCCTAAGTGGCTGCCTCAGAGCTGACTGGCACAACCTGGTTAGCAGCCTCCTCTCTGTGGGCTCCACCTTCAAAACCATGGCCAGAGGACTGGCGAAAGCTCAGCAGGTAAAGGCCCTTGCTGCCAAGCCTGAGAAACTGAGTTCAATATCCAGGATGCACATGGTGGGAGAGAACTGACTTCATTCTACAAGCTGTCCTCTGGCTTCCACACATGCCCTCCTCCCCAAATAAATAATAAATGTAAAATGTATAAATGTGCATAAATGTATAAATGTGTATAAATGTAAATGTGCTGGAGAGATGGCTCAGTGATTAAGAGTACTAGCTGCTCTTGCAGAGGACCCAGGTTTGGTTCCCAGCACCCACATGGTGGCTAATAACCATCAGTAACTCCAGCTCCAGGGGATCACACCCCCTCTTCTGACCTGCTCCAGCACTGTGTGGCACAAGTGCACTTATATACATGCAGGTAATACACTCATACACATAAAAATAATGGGCCGGGCGTGGTGAGCACACCTTTAATCCCAGCACTTGGGAGTATTTTTATTTATTTTTTAGGTCTTTTTGAGACAGGTTCTCCCTGTAGCCCGAGCTGTCCTGGAGCTCACTATGTAGACCAGGCTGGCCTCGAACTCAGAGTTCACCTGCCTCTGCCTCCCAAGTGCTGGGATTAAAGGCGTGTGCCACCACGCCTGGCCCCAAAATAGTTTTTAAAGTAGAATCTGCCCACTTCATGTCACTGATACCTGTAACTGTGGCTGCAGGGGCGCCTGGAGTTCATGAAATCACCACTGGCTCCTCTGGCTCCCTACCACCCTCCCAGGCAGGCTGTATTAAGTTCAGAAGCCAGAGTTCCTTTAAGAGGCAGCAGCCTCATGACCTCTTGTCTCACAACCCTCCAGTGCTTCCTGCTTCATATGGACAAGACCCAGGACACCTAGGACTGCCTCAGCAAACTAGTCCTTCACTTCATTCACTGGCCTAGCTCTTAAGTCCCTGCCTGGGCCCTGCCCCCACATCTGGCCCTCTCCCCTCACCTCAGCCAGGCTCACTCCTAATCCAGGGTATTAAGTGCTAACTGTAGTTCCTGGCCAGAATATTCTTCCCAGGGATGGCTTCCTTACCTCTTCAAGGCTCACCCCCTAGCCAGGCTGGGTGGCAGGGCCTGTAATCCCAGCGCCTAGTTTATTTTTAATTTACTTTTCAGTACTAGGAGTGAACCCAGGGCCTCATACATGCTAGGCAAATGCACTACCAGTGAGCTATATCCCAGCACTTGGCTGAGGCAGGAGGATGCCAAGCTCAAGGCCCACTACCTGGGTTACAGGGTGAATTCAAGACCAGCCTTGGTAATTCAGTGAGGCGGGGTGTGGGGGTGTGGGGGGTATGTGGTTTATAGCTCAGTGGGAGAGGCCTGAGGTTTGATCCATAAGCACTGAAGGTGGGGTGGGGGGAGAATGATCCCATCTTCTTTGTAATATCCCCCAGGTCAGTTACTGAAATGTGTAAACTATTGTGTACTGAAATGTGTAATGTGAAATGTATCCCCCAGGCCCTACTTTCCTTCTCCTCACTCTCAACAGGGTCTCAGACCCTGAAATCCAAACTGGCCTTGACTTCACAGCCATCCCCCTGCCTCAGCCAAGTGCTGGGATGACAGGTGTGAGCCAGCACACTTGGCTGCCTGCTTCTTTCCAAAGCACTGCTCCCCTCCTCACAGGCTACTAGCTTTCTAGTTATGCCCTGCCTGGACAAGCTTCCTAAGCAATGCAGACGGACAAGCCTACAAGTCTTGTCAACGTCTGAATGAAGGTGCTGAAGAACCCTGACCCAAGCCATGGGTGACTTCCAGAAGCCACACATTCCTCTCACCCTGTCACAAATGTCCTCACTCCCTCATCCTCTGCCATGCAATGGTCTTTCTCCTGTTTCTGGGATTACAGAGGTGCACCACCATCCCCAGCTGCAATGATTCTCTTGAAGCCATCACTTTCCCTCCCAGTTCTCGGACACCGGGCCACCTCAGGATGGATGAAGACAACGCCTTGTACCTCTTTCACCGGCAGTGTCTGGAGCACCAGGCGAGGTGGACGGCCCCAGGTTCCCCCACCACCGGGAGCACCCAGACTCCAGGAACTGGAGCTATCCAAGGCCAACCACAGGTATAGCAAACAGGTCTCAACTCGCGCTCCAACTCCAGGCAATCACTAAGGTTTCCCAGAGTGCCATACTGAGGCCACACGCATTGGCACAACCTTGCCTACACTGAGATGGACCCATGGTGTTCTGGTGCAGAGCAGCAGGATAGAAGTGCAGGTCAACTGGCTGCTGTCCCCAATGGCCAGCCTGGGACTCTAGAGCAGCGCTGTCCAAGAGGCTCTCCATGATGATGGAGACCCTCTGTCTGCATCTTCCAATTTGGTAGTCAGGACCTACATGGCTACTGTGCGCTTGAGATATGGCTACCGTGTCTGAGGCACTGAATTTAAAGTAATCTGAAGTTAAGGCAGCCCCATGGGGATAGTTACCTTACTGGACACTGCAGCTTTAGAAAAATGGTCTTTCTTGCTCCACTAACACCCAGAGCTAACAGCCCCAGAAACACAGGCAGCACTGAGCTCTAAGATTGCCATTGTGCCAAAGCCCATGCTGACAGACTTTAGAAATTCCTACTGCCAGACCTCTGCTCCAGCTCAGGAAGGAGCCACAGGCTTCTCTCATCCCTGGCAGAAGTCAGCCCACTGTCAAAGTCCACACAGGGTAGAACCTACTGTTTGGGTCCCTGAAACCCATCTCTAATCACAAGATTCACAGTAAGGGGGAGGAAGAAGACTCTGACTGAAAAGATCCTCCCTCTTTGATCAGAGGTATGCCAACCCGGCACTAGGTGGGCCTGAGACAGAGCCCCAGACCCGACAGAGCCCAGAGGTGGGGGAGTACAGGAACCCTCCCCCAAACTGGGAATGGCAGGCAGGAAGAGAAAATAGAAAAACAGAGCGTTTACCTGTTGTGGACTTTTAGATAATATTTGCTGAGGAACTTTTTATGACATGTGGGGCATTCAACCGGCACCGCTGTACCTTTTCTGTGCTCAGCGGGCTCGGATGCTAGGGACCCTGCACCCGGGGCTGGCTCGGCAGCACAGGGCTTTCTGATTACTTTTGACTTCCTCCTGGTCAGCACAGTCTCAGGCTCAGAAACGTAATCGCCATCCCCGTCGTCCTCAACTTGAACCACCACTTCCCACTAGAGCAGAGGCAGCAGGAAGGTGGGGTCACCAAGGTATCAGCAGGGCCTGTGGGGAACCCACTGTAGTTCCAACCCAAGCCCCATCCCATGATCGCCTTCATCAGAGACTCGTCCCTTCAGGGGCTCAGGGAAGACAACATCTGGGTCTGGATTTGCGAGGAGCTGGCAAGGTTTCACTAGCCTAGGGAACCACCTGTCACCTTGCAGCTGCTCACTCCACCCCCAAGGAAGCTGGCAACCATGGACAACTGTGTCAGCCAAAGCCACTGGCTTCCTACATTTCTAGATCATCCCAGGAAAGTGTCAGTCTTTACCCCTCCTCTGGCCTCCCCAGTTCCAGCACCCTGGGCACAGTACCTCATTGCTCTCGCCCTGCAGTGGGGCACCTTCAGCCTCCAAGGGCCGTGGGAGCACTTTGCAGTCCTGGGACTCCTTGTCCTCTAAGGGACAAGGCTTCAGAGCCTGCTTGGGCTTCCCACAGAGGAAGGAGGGGCTGCTCTGGGCAGAGGGACTGAACTGGGGCTTCTGGGGGCTCCGACTGTCTCTAGGTTCCTGATCCGCAGAAACCAGGCTCAGAGTCCTGGAAACTTCCTCTTCTTCCAAGTCTGCTGGCTCTCTGAGGTGGCTTTGCACGTCCTGGGAGGCAGGCTGCTCCAGGGCACTCTGGCCACTTGATGCCTGTCCCACTGGGGTTTGGGGCTGGAAACTCTGGCACAACTCCACAGCCTCTGGCACTCGCAACTCCCTGGCTGCCAGGAGCACCTGATCCCGGTTCCCTGAGGTGAGGGCGAGGTGACCAGTGTAGAAAAAGTCCAACAGAAGGCCAAAGATCTCGGCAAAAACCGCAGGAAGGACAACGCTGCCCCCAGAGCCATCCCCATAGAGGCTCTGGAAGAAGTGGCTGCAGCAGGCCAGGACACTCCAGTGTGCCTTGAACACCAGGCCCCCAACATCCAGCGTGGCATCGCAATACTGGCCCTTCTCCCGCTGTTTGTTGAGCTCCTGCAGAACCCTCACACTGTGCTGGACGAAGGAGCCATCCATGGTCTGGAAGAAAGAGCAAAAATGACAAGCTGGCCAGCTCAAGAGAGAAAACCTGAAGATTTAGGAAGAAAGGGAGTAGGACTCCCACATACGCATAAGGACTTGGGTCAAGGCTAGAGTGCACACAGAGCACAGCACTGGAGCACAGTGACCACCCCCAGGGGCAGGGCTGGTGCTAGGTAGGCCAGAGGGAAGGGAGGGGTGGGAGGTAGACCTGGGAGAGGACAGGTCAGGGCAGGGTCGTTGGGCAAGGACGGAGTCGATCAGAGGGGATTCAGCAAGCCTGGGTACACTAGGGAGAGAACAGGACAGGGTCCAGCAGAGAAGATGCAGCAGGCCCGGGTGCACCTGGGAGAAGACAGGACAGGGTCTGGCAGAGGAGATGAGGCAGGGGTGGGTGCACCTGGGAGAGGGCAGGGCAGGGCAAGAGAGATGCAGCAGGGGTGGGTGGACCTGAGGGAGGGAAAGACAAGGTCGGACAGAGAAGATGCAGCAGGGGAGGTGCACCTGGGGGAGGACAGGCCAGGGTCGGGAAGGGGTGTGGGGACAGGAGGCGGGGAGTGACAACAGCAGATCCCCGCGTACAGCCTCAGAACCCCGCGCGGGACGGAGCAGGACTGCGGCTGCGCACAGGTATTCCCAGCCCACGCTGCACCCGCAGGTCTCGCGCGGCGGGCGGAAGGCGACGGCCTCACTCTTGTCAGGTCTGGGGACAGCGCGCACTCCCCCTCCCACGCCCCATCCTCCTCGCCCGCCCTCCCCGCACGCACCGGCCGGACCCAACTGGGCTCCGCCGCTTCCACGGCCCACGAACCAACTGCCCCGGCCGAACGAGCCCGGCCCACAGCGCGGAGACGCCGCCGTCGCCACACCGGAAGCGACGTCAGGGCGCGCGGGCCACGCCGTGACGCCTCGGAGGCACAGGGCTCATAGGGACCGCCCCCTCGAGGATGGAACCGTAGAGAACGACCAATGGGACGTCGGGTGGGCGGGGCCACGCCGTCCTCAGTTGACTTGGGGCTATCGGTCCCAGAGTTGCTTAGCAACACCAAGCTGGACGCTCAGGAGACCGGAAGCGCAGCCAAGAAGACACACGCTCGGATCTTTATTGGGCTGGACACATCGCAAGCTTACTTAGGAGCTCTGAGGTCACCCGCACCCCCCAGGCCTTCCACCCCATCGCTCGTCAACCCTCAGGAACTTCCGGTTCCGCTTCCCCCAATCTGGCCGACTCGAGGCGCCTCGTGTAGTCCTGGATGGAGGCCTGAAAATGCTGTGTGTTGTTGAGGTCGGGCCGGCAGAGGATCACATAGCACTTGGGGAGGAAGTACCCACCGAAGCCGCCACTCAGGGTGGTCAGCCCCGCCAGCACGTTGACCACAGCCAGGTACCTGCCCTGGTAAACACTGGACATGGTGAAGAAGGTGATCCAGGAGACGAAGTAGAGGAGTAGGCTGAAGGTGACGCATTTGGCCTCGTTATAGTTCTCTGGCAGTTCCTTGCCCAGGTAGCTGCAGGTGAAGGTGCTGACTGAGAGGAGGGTGTTGTGGGTAAAAGCCAGGAGGAAGCCCACAGAGTTGGCCTGTGTGCACTCCAGCATCACCAGATCCCGGGATCTCTGGTACTCCCTGGTGGGCAGTGGCGTCCACACCACAAGCCATATGAGACAGATGAGCAAATGGACCATTGAGCTGACGATCACAAAGAGACCAGCACCGTGGTTTTGGGCCCAAGTGTGGTAGGATGTGGGGACCTTAGTGGAAAACTTGAAGATGATGACCAGCTGGAAGGAGCGGATGGTCAGGCAAGAAAGGAAGATGGCGAAACTCAAAGAGAAGAGGGGCTGGCGCAGCAAGCATGCGGGCACTGTGGGCTCTCCGAAGAAGCTGTAGAAGCTACAACTACCCGAGCCCAGGGATCCCAGCATGAGGAAGCAGAGCCTGCCCCCAGCTGACCTCACAACAGGCGTGTGAAGGTGCCAGGCAAACAGCCCCGCGGTCCCAACCAGCAGCAACAACAACAGAGTGTTAGCTGCTAGTAGCAACAAAGAGATGGGTTCATGCCAGCTCAAGAACACCACGGTGCGTGGGAAGCAGGCCGGGCTTGCCTCTGGTGCCCATTCTTCTTTTCCACAAGGCTGGCAGAGGTGAAGGTCTGAAAGGGAAGACAAGGTTCCTTTGAGCCAGGTGACCATTGAGAAGGCAAGGAATGGGGAAAGGAACTCCTGCCAGGTGCCTGGGGAGTTTAGTTGTACCTCAACAGGTAGGCCTTCTAGAACAGCCCCAGGCCAAGCATTTCCCCGAAAGGCCTGTATTAATTACAGACTGGAGAAACATGCATCAGTTTTGTATGGCTCATGATCCCAAAGGAGGATTACAAACAGCCTTACACTGGTGTCTCTGTCCACATGCCAGCGAGGCTGTGAACCAGTGAGAGTCACCAACCCTAAAATAAAGCACTTTTGTCTCTCTCCAGCACATCCACTAACCAAATCCACCTTCAGAGCTTTGAGATGTCTTGGCTCTCTGGTGACAAAGACATCTCCATCTCCACAGAGATACAAAAAGGAAAGAAAGCCCCAGAATCCAGCTCTGCACTGAGCTCATAGCTACCCAGTATGCTCGCTACTCTCCACTTTGAGTCACGAGATGGGACATGCCAGCTTCTTTCTGCTGCAGACATGCTAGTGGGTCTGAACCATTTAGTCTGAATCATTCAGGGGCTGAATCCCTTTGACATCCACCAGGGAAGGAACTTCAGATAAACAGCATGTACAAAGGGACCATTGGTATATCTGTTTGGATAAGGAGGTTGAATTCAGACCAGATCAATCTGAGGGAGCTGTGAGGGCTCTAAGAGAGGACACACCTAGGTCTGTCTGTAGTTTTCAAGTGGTTGCTTCTGCCTGATCAGAACTCAGCATGATGGCAGGTGTCCTCCAGCCTTTACCTAACTCACAGGAGGGCAATGAACTGGATCTGGAGCCAGCTGGTACGTGTAGACACCTGGGAGAAGTCCTTCCATCTGGTACAGACCCCAGGGATCTGAATCACTCACCACTCTTGTTGAGAAAGGTCCCGGCCTCACAGGGCACACACTCGAAGCAGCAGTGGTGGGGACCCATAACCACTCTGTGGTGCCCTTCAATACAGTCTCTGGTACACACAGATGTAGGCACCTATAAGAAGCCACACGTGTTCTGCGATCACACAGAGGGGCCCAAGTCAAAGGACAGCTCACACATGGAACAGGAAAGAGGCTCTCCATGCCTCTGCCCTCCAGGCTCCCTCTCAGGGTACAGCCCCTAGTCATATGAACTGACATCCAATTGGGCATCTGTTTATTAGCACATGCAGCTAGCATCCCTAACAGGACTGAGCAGAGAGCTAAGGCAGCCCGACCTCCGGGGGCCCCCTTGCTCCTCTGGTTAGGAATCTGGCACCGTGAGGAGGTCATCTGGTAAGTGATCACACCCTCATTACCTCATTCTTCTTCCCATGCCACTGGATTTTCGACTTATTTATGTGTAGCTGAACCGGAGACAATGAGGCAGAGCCAATGACCTTGAAGGTCCACTTGGGCCCAATCCAGTCCCAGGCGATGATGTTATAGTCACTTAGGGAGTCCCCGTAGTCATCGAATGTCACAGTGTCCTTTTGTAGAAGGAAATTCACCTTGTAGATCTGCTGCAGAAGCTGAGACAAACAGATCGTGAAGCTGCCACAGGTTACACACCCAGATAGCAGTGGAAGCAGGCCAAGGTCCTTGTGCTGGTAGTTCCAGCCCAGCTATGAAGGCATGGCCCTTTCTCAGAGTGCCCTCCCTCCTAGGAACCCCCTTGGCCTTGCTGACCAGCCTCCCAAGAGAGGAGACTTCCAATAAAGGACTCTTTTGCAGACACTGTAGCCTTTGACAGCTCAAGGACATGGTAAATAGGCGGCCAGGATCAGAGGGCAGAAAAATGTGGAGAAAGCCAGCCCTCCAGTCAGTGGCTCCTAGGGTAGCCAGAGTGCCTGCTTTCTCAGGACTGAATGTTCTGGATACAGGGACCTTGACAGGACTTCCTTACCTGCCATGGGTAGACTGGGCCCCTGGAACAAGTCCCAGAGCTGCAGCCCAGGAGCTGGTGGAGGCTGTGGGCCACAGCATACACTGCCTTGTACACATTGTAGGCTGCACTCCCAGAGAAGGCCCCGAGCCTGGGCATGCTGTGCACCATGAAAGTATGGCAGTCTCGGCACAACTGGTTGGTGTTGCACCTGGAGCCTTCGGGGCAAGGCCTGGGGGCACCCTTTTCTGCCTTGATATAAGCTTCTTCAAATGCCTTCAGGCCACGGACAGACCTCTGCTGGATGGCCACACCCAGCACCATCCCAATGCCCTGGATCCCAGGCACTTGGGTGATGTGCGTGGAGATGGCCCAGTCTTCAGAGGCGATCCACACCTTGCTGGTCAGGTTGGTCAGCACCACGGTCTGGAAGAACACTCCAGCCAGGTGCCGGTTAGAGAAGACCACAACCACGGTGGTCTTGACTTGGGCCAGGTGGTGCATCATGCTCTGCATCCTCGGGTCGCCCACCTGGGCAGAGAAAGGCACGATGTCCTTGTAGGCGATGCAGATGCCCCTCGGTGTGGCCAGTTCCTCCAGCGCCTGAACCCCCAGCTGCCCGTAGTAGCCGTAGCTGCCAATGAGTGAGATCCAAACCCACCCAAAGCTCTGCAGCAGCTGCACCATGACCTCCACCTGGTACTTATCGCTGGGGATGGTGCGCAGGAAAGAGGGGTACTGGGCCTTCGAGCCGAGTATCATGCTGCTGGCCTCATAGCTGATCTGTGGGGGAGGGCTGCAGTGAGACCATCATCATCGACCTCGACTAAAGCCCACGCTTCCAATGCCCAACCTCTGCAGGGATGATGGAGATCAGGAGAGCCAGTCCCACCAGGGAGTTCTAGAAGAAGTGGACCAAGTGGAAGGACACTGAGAAAAACATGCTCGATTGGCAGAGGTCAGAGCAGAGAAGAGGCCTGAACGCTCAAGCTGAGGGGCTCACTTCCACCCTGTACTCTGTGGGGAGCCCCTAAGGCTCACCCTGAGAAGTGACATGTTCAGATTCACATTTGAGGAGCATATATCCAACTCTAGTGAAGAATGTGCTGGAACAGGCTCCAGACTGGGGGTGGGGGTGTGGAATCACCTGGATGAGGGATAGCAGTGGTCTGTAAAAGGTTTAAAATATTTATAATTTTTTATGGGTGTGTATGTTTTGCCTGTACATATGTAAGTGTACCACATGCATGCAATGCCCATACAGACCAGAAGAGGGTGTCAGATCCCCTGGAACTGGAGTTACAGATGGTTGTTAGTCACCATGTGGGAACAGGGAATCAAACCCAGGTCCTCTGGAAGAACAGCAGGCATTCTTAACCACTGAGCCATCTCTCCAGCCCCAAAGGTGAGATTTAACTAGGTGTGGCCTAGTAGTCCTTGCACTCAGAAGGTGGAGGCTACTCTACTATGTAGTAAGTAGGAGGCCCACCTGTGTCTTACAAAGAAAAAGCAAATATAGGTGAATGATAAATCTGAAGAGAAACTGGAGTTTGATGGTGATGGTCTGTCTAAAACCTGTGGCAGAAGAGAGGGAGGGAGAGGCCTCAGCAACAAGGGCACATGGGGTGGGGGGGAGCAGGAGAGGAGGCAGGACTTCAGGGTCTCCAGTCTGAGTAGAGATGATGATGCTCCATCTGCCTGGTGGGGTCAAGTGGACCATAGTGGGGCTGCAGGGGAAAAAAGGCTCAACACGAAGCTGCTGGTACTAGAGGTGCAGAAGTCAGGTGAGTAGCTCACGCTCCCTCGAAAGTCAGAATACATGGTGTCCGTGGCCTGTTAGGACTGAGAGGGGAGAGGCAGGCAAGGGGCATCACTGGCTGCCTCAGGGGGCACCTCCAAGAGACCCAGAGGAGCTGTGAGTCAGGGAAGAGCAAGGGGCATAGATGCCGAGGAGTGCCGTCCAAGGAGTGGCCAGAAAGGTAACGAAATGGTGTAAGGTACAGGGCTGAGACAGGCTCATCAGATGTGGAGATATAGACAGTGCTCCGGCTCACAGCCAGAACTCTGAGAACTGTGTGAAGGACAGGATCCAAGGTGAGCTTAGGTGCAGAAAGGGCAGAACTAGGTGGGGCAGAGCTCTGCACGGAGCAGCAAATGGGGGAGGGGATCCTTCTAGAATGCTGAGACAGACTGCCAAGGACAGAGGGGCCATTACTATGGGACTCCAGGTGAGGGCACTCCCACCCACCTGGTAGGGAAGAAAGGGCAGGTGAAGGGTGACTAGATGGCAGCCCTTTTAAGGAGAATGGGTTTCCCACGAGGCAGGACACTGTGGAAGCAGCCCTTGGAGAGGCCAGCAGGAACAGTGTGGGGAGGGGGTGGGACCCCTGCAGTGTGTGTGGCTAGACTGCAGGGACTGCCCAGAGATAAGGGAGCCAGCCTAGCCTCAGAGGACAGCAGCTCCCACCACCCCGCCTCCATCCTAGCCCATACTGGACTTGTGGCTGGGGAGTCCCTGAGGGTCAGCTTACCAGGGGCATCATGAAAGGGCCCAGCAGGGCAGCAGTGGTAATAACGTGGTCGGTGTTGTCAGGCCCAATAATTGCCAGCACCTTGGAGGAATAGCTGTAGAGGTCTTCCTGTAGCTCTATGAGGTGAGTCCCCTGCAGGGCGAGCACATTCAGGATGGCATACACGTTGGCAGACTCTGAGCACACGTCATACAACTCGTACCCCAAGGTGATGTTGGGCAGCAGGGCTGTAGAGTTGTTTATCTCCTCAATGCTGAATCTCATGGCCTGGAAGAGGTGGTAGCCATGGCCATTGAAGCTGCCGGGTCTGCGGGAAAAGCCCAGCTAGAGCTAAGAAGGTGGAGGGTTGAGACTCTCTGGCCTCCCAGCATCCCACTGGGGACAGAAGGAAACCTCTGAGGTCCTCTGTCCAGGCCTATGCAGCTGGGACCTCAGTGTGGCCTCTGAAATACATGTTCAGTTCCAGGAGGGGTTAGCAGCCCTAGAGAGAGGTGAAGGCCATGTTGGACAAGTGCCACATAACCAGGCCTCCTATGGGTAAGAATACCAGCATCCTGCAAGTTATCCTCTCACCTTCACACTGCTACATACACACACACACACATGCACCACACACAAATAAATGTAACAAATTTTTTTTAAAAAGAAGTTGGGCATGTTGGTGCACGCCTTTAATCCCACACTCGGGAGGCAGAAGCAGGTGGGTATCTGAGTTTGAGGCCAGCCTGGTCTACATAGAGAGTACCAGGCCAGCCAGTATGGGGAGGGTCGCTTGACCCCCGGCGTGGTGTGTGCGGGCACCCTGGGGTCTCCGCCACACCTGGCTAATCCCGGCGTGAGTCTGGCTGCAGGCGATGTGGGGAGCGCGCCTGGGCTCCCGGGCGCACTCACTCTGGATGTGGCCCAGGGTCAGGTGTACGTGCACTCTCCCGCCGTGGTTCTGGTCCCGCTGGCTAGCTAGCGGCTGGCGGGCCTGGCCGGCTGCGCCTCTCTGGAGACGGCAGGTGTAAAGACTTCTCTGATGCTGGCTGTAGCTGATAGCTACACACTTCTCTGGAGCGGAGAGCTTCTTCTGCTACTAGAGTATTATCTAGTCGGGATCCCGCCTCTATTACACCCTTGTGCCCTTCCTCAGGATTGCGGAGTCCTGGCCAGTGAACTCCACAGGGAAGAAACACGGAGGCGGCGAAAGCTAGGATATCCGTGGGTCGGTAACGGAGAGTGCTGCTCTCCGGTGAGATCAGGTCGCCGGTAGTAAGACACAGGACTCAAGGCACGGCTTAGTCTGTGTTTACTGCTTTATTGTATCTCTGCTCCTTGCTGTCCAGCTCTCTGCTGATCCAGCTTTCTGGGACCCAGTCTCTGGCCTGATCTCCCAGTCTCTGGCCTGATCTCCGACTATTAAGAGAAGACTAGCATATTTATATACCATGGGGGTAGTGGTAAAAGCTTTTAGATACTTTGTGAGATATTCTATTTACATGTGGAAGTGGGTTTCTGCTAGACTATTGTCCACCTGTAAAAACCACACACAGGAAGGCATGGTATGCATAGAGCCAAAGGCCATGTTTATGTCAAGGCATCTGTGGTGGCCACTTCAAAGGGAGAGACGGGAAAGATGCCAGAAAGCACCTTGCTATGAAAAGGAGCCCGCGGCACATTCCCCGAGCTGCATGAGCTGTCCGGTGTGAAGGGGCTTCGACTTTTGCATAACAGAGGTCTCCCAACAAGCCAGGGCTACACAGTGTTTTGTAAAAAACTAAATAAGGGGCTGGAGAGCTGGCTCAGTGGTTACAAGCCCTGGCTGCTCTTGCACAGGACTCAGGTTCAGTTCCTAGCACCCAAGTGGCAGCTAACACTGTAATTTCAGTTCCAAGGGATTCGATGCCCCTTTTGGTCTCTGCAGGTACTGTATGACAGGGGCACTTACATACATGCAGGCACAGCACTAATACACACAAAATACAAATAAACTTAAAAACTAAAGAGAACCCTGCTTAAAATGTGGGTGGAACCACATATGAAGTCATATAGCTGAAGTGGGAGTTGCAAGAACCTTGGCAACAGAGAAAGGTCTCTGGGGGACTGGAGAGATGGCTCAGCTGTTAAGAGCACTGGCTGCTTTTGCAGAGGACCTGGGTTCGAATCCCAGCACCCACATGACAGCTAACAACTCCAGTCCCAGGGGATCCAACACCCTCTTCTGACCTCCTTGGGTATTACATGAGAAGGGTGCACTTACATACATGCAGGCAATACACTCAGACACATAAAGTAAAAATAAATAAAAGCTGAGCTTGGTGTGCAAGCCTTTAATCCCAGCACTCAGGAGGCAGAGGCAGGGTATCTCTGTGCATTCAAGGCCAGCCTGGTCTACATAGTGAGTTCCAGGCCAGCTGGAGTTACAGGGAGATGCTGTTTCAAAAAGACCAAAAAATAAATATTTTTAAAAACGTTTCTGAATGGGGGTAGGGAGAGATGGCTCAGCAGTTAAGAGCAAGGACTGCTCTTGCAGAGGACCCGGATTCGATTGATTCCCAGCACCCACATGGCGGCTACTAACTTTCCTTAACTCCAGTTCCAGGGGAATCCAAAGCCCTCTTCTGACCCGCGGCATTGCAGGACATGGGTGCACTCACATACATGCAAGCAATACACTCATAAAATAAAATAGGCCGGGCGTGGTGGCCCACACCTTTAATCCCAGCACTCAGGAGGGAGAGGCAGGCAGATCTCTGTGAGTTCAAGGCCAGCCTGGTCTACATAGTGAATTCTAGGACAGCTGGGGCTACAGGGAGACACTGTCTCAAAAAGACCAATAAATAAATAAATAAATAAAATATTAAAGAAAAAAAACGTTTCTGAAAAATGCAGTGACCAAAAATTGATTTAAAATCAAACACAATGACTCCAAGGTATTTCTGGGAACACTCACCCATGTTATTGAACTGGCTCAGCGAACTTCCCTAAGTTACTCCATTTTGTTCAGAGCCATTTCAGCAGCAACTTTGCTCCACCAGAAGGAAAAGGGGGGCAACCTTGGGCCTTGGAAAATTGCCCTCGCCATGAATCACGGAATGTGCTCTGCAAAATGCTCTGAGCCAGGTACATGGACTAGTGCAGGAGGCTCATGAGCTCAGTCATCCCTCACTGACCACTGAACAGACAGATCTGGAACCTGGTGATTGGAGTTGAGTTCACAGACATCAGGCACCTAACCTTGAACCCAAGTGGGCTGGTCCGTATCCGATCATCTTGCTGACTTCAACTGCTGTTAAGGTTGTCGGACGTGCCCACTGGAGTCACCGTTCCCAAGTTAAGAGAGCCCATCTGGACCACATTCCTCAAACATGGACAGTAAAAAGAACAGACAATCCCCTCAAGGTCAGACTGGTGAAAAAAAATCTTAATTCTTATATTCTCCTTCTGGATAATAAAAACTGTTACTGGGTACAGTGACTGAAATCCCCATGAGCCATCCCCTGATAATTGGGTATTAAAAAGAACTTCAGATGGTAAGATCTTAGCCACTTCCTACTGTGTCAGAGCCACCCCCTATTACATATGCTAATTCCCACAGTGTTTCACGATGGGACCCCCCTGAATTATATGTCTTTGCTCTATACATATGAGTTTTTCAATGCTACTGAACCAAGTCTCACAAGAGACTGCTGGCTGTGCTTGCACCCTAGACCTCCTTACTATATAGGAATAGGAGCAGGTATAGTGGGTGCCACAGGAATAGGGACCGCTGCACTTATAAAAGGGGAAGCAAATTTTAAAGCTCTCACCCAGCAAATAAATCTAGATTTAAAGGATATGGAACATCAAATTAAAAATTTGACTTATTCCCTCAACTCATTAGGCTGAGGTGGTGTTATAAAATCGCTAAGGGCTAAATCTTGTTTTCATGCAACAAGAAGGATTATGCATGACACTAGGTAAAAAATGCTGTTTATATGCCTAATAGGTCAAAGAATTAACGTTACTCACAACAGGAGTGGGGAATGAACTGGCTCAGCAAACTTGCCTGAGTTACTCCATTTTGTTCAGAGCCATTTCAGCAGCAACTTTGCTCCACCAGAAGGAAAAAGGGGGCAACCTTGGGCCTTGGAAAATTGCCCTCGCCATGAATCACGGAATGTGCTAATTCCAGACATTATATTTTTGCTAACCAGCTTGTTTTCGCTTCTGTAACCTGCTTGCTGCCTTGGGTCGCCCTGACACAGGGCATAAGACCACCCTTGTTATTCTGTTATTGCACGACCACCTAGAGGTTATTTACCTTGACTGTCTTATTTTACTTGTTATGACTAAAGCAGTTGGCTAGTTTTTAATGTCACAAAGTTGAGTGCCAAGTTATATGACTGTATCACTTGTCTGTACAATGATTGGTTGTTAATAGAATCAAAATACTGCTATGTTGTACAAACCTGATTGGTTCACAAATGTCCTGTTTTAATAATAATTCTGTAATCCTATAAAAACTCTGACCTGACAATCACCAGGGCTGCTTCTACTCCCAAGATAGACAGCCCGGCCGGTCGAAAATTAAAATTTACCTTGCTATTTTTCTTAAAGTGGTGTTGGTGATTTTTTTAAGAACTCTGTCCTATAACAGTTGTTTGTTTGTTTGTTTGTTTGTTTGTTTGTTTGAGACGGGCTCTCACTATGTAACCCTGGCTGGCCTGGAACTCACTATGTCGACCAGAGATCCGCCCACCTCTGCTAAAATTCAAGGGATTAAAGGTATGTACCTGCACCACCATGCCTGGCTCATGCCTGTTTCTAAAGAGGAGCTTCCAAATTATACAAGCTCTCAACTTCTGAAAACCTGGATGTGAACCTGGGACACTTATCTAGTAAGATCCTTAACAGCAGTGTGGAGAAGCATTTATGTGATCAAAAAGAGAGAGAGGGACACAGCCACCTCACCAGGAGCCAGGATCAGGGAGATGAGCAAGCACTAGGGGGTGATTATTTGGCTCCCACAACACAGTATAAGGGGACAAATGATGAGGTTTAGGAGATGGAGTCCAGTGTGTAGCAGCGGGTCTTGGGAGGGGGTGAGTGGCAGCATCTCTATGACCTCAGTGTTTAGATCTGTTTAGACCCCAGAGCTCAAGATGCGTTCCTGGCATGACCTCCTGGTGCCCTCTTGGATTTAATGCCCTTATGAGTTGACTAATTTTAAAGTTACAAGGTTGATTGCCAAGTTATATGACTATATCACTTGTCTGTATAATGATTGGTTGTTGATGAATAGAGTCAAAATTCTGCTATGTTGTACAAACCTGATCGGTTCACAAATGTCCTGTTTTAATAATAATTCTGTAATCCTATAAAAACTCTGACCTGACAATTATCAGGGCTGCTTCTACTCCCGAGATAGACAGCCCGGCCGGTTGAAAATTAAAATTTACCTTGCTATTTTTCTTAAAGTGGTGTTGGTGATTTTTTTACGAACTCTGTCCTATAACAGTTATGGTTCCAAACTTCACTGAACCTTTGGCTACAAACATATGTGTATACTTTGCTGTGCATATGCTGCCATGTCACGCCCACACCAGTGCAAGCTGCCTGAAACCTTGGCTCCCTCTAAAAATGCAGCCTATGTTTTCTGTTTTTCATTGTTTGTTTTGTTCTGGTCTTTTTGAGACAGGGTCTCCTTGTAGCCCCAGCTGACCTGGAACTTGCTATGTAGACCAGGCTGGCCTTGAACTCACAGAGAGCTGCGTTTCAAGAGCTGGAATTAAAGGCATTTGCTACCACGGTCTGTTTTTTATTATTTTTGTGAGGGGAAGGAGGACTATGTTTTGAAATGCAGAGCTTTCATTATACATACAAAGATTTTTAATAAATGTTTTATTTGTAAATTTATTTATTTTTAATATTTTATTATTTTTATTTTATGTGTAAGAGTGTATTGCCTACATGTGTTAAGTGCACCTGTGTTGCGCAATGCCCATGAAGGTCAGAACAGTTCGTGCTCTTAACCGCTAAGCCATCTCTCCAGTCCAGCCCCCATACCTGGCAATTTTCTATTCTTTTTTTAAGATTTTATTCTTCTTTTATGTGTATGAGTGTATAAGTGCACCCATGTCCTACAATGCCCACAGATGTCAGAAGAGGGTGTCGAATTCCCCTGGAACTGGAGTTACAGTTGATAGTTGTCATGTGGGTGCCAGGAATCAAATCCAGGTCTTCCTCTGCAAGAGCTGTCAGTGCTCTTAACCACTGAACCATTTTTCCTGCCCAAAAAGTATTTTATTATTATTTGTTTTGGTTTGGTTTTTTGTTTTGGTTTTGAGACAGGGTCTCCCTGCAGCCCCAGGTGTCCTGGAAAACTCTATATGGACCAGGCTGGCCTCAAACTAACAAAGATCCATCTGTCTCTGCCTCCCAGGTGCTGGGACTAAAGGCGTGGGCCACCATGCCCTGCAGAATGTTTGGTTTGGTTTTTTGTTTTTTGGTCTTTTTGAGACAGGGTCTCCCTGTAGCTCCAACTGCCTGGAACTCACTCTATAGACCAGGCTGGCCTCGAACTCACAGAGGATCCACCTGCCTCTGCCTCCTGAGTGCTGGGATTAAAGGCGTGCGCCACCATGCCTGGCAAATGTTTGGTTTTTAAATTTTCTATTTTAGTTGCTGACTTGAATTTCATTAAAAAAAAAAATCCGTTGGGGGCTGGAGAGATGGCTTAACAGTTCAGAGCACTGGCTGTTTTTGCAGAGGACCTAGGTTCAATTTCCAACACCCACATGGCAGCTAACAACTCTCCCTAACTCCAGTTCCAGGGGATCCAACCCCTCTTCTGTCATTTGTGGGCACTGCATGACATGGGTACATTTACATATGTGCAGGCAATACACTCATACACATAAAATAAAATAAAATTTAAAAAAATTCCTCAGTGAATTTCAGCTTGGCATTGGGACAGGATTTCTAGTAATTTCTGTAATGGCTCTAAACATATTTTTGCAATTTTAATCTACATGTGAAGTGGCATTCTCAGCACTGACACTCATAAATTCAACATATCAGTTCTGAAAAAACTTCTCATTAGTCTGCATGACTCCAAGTATATAAAATAGTTAAACAAGGGGGCTGGAGAGATGGCTCAGAGAGATGGCTGCTTTCACGAAAGACCCAGGATCGAATCCCACATGGTGGCTAACAACCGTCCATAACTCCAGTTCCAGGGGATCCGATGCCCTCTCTGTCCTCTTTCTCGGGCACCAGTGCACTTACACACAGGCAGGCATAACACTCATATGCATAAAAAAAAAAGATTTAAAAAAATAGGTAAATGGCTGGAGAGATGGCTCACCGGTTAAGAACACTGGCTGTTCTTGCAGAAGACCCAGGTTTGAATCCCAGCACCCACATGGCAGCTAACAACTAACTGTCCGTGACTCCAGTTCCAGGGGGATCCGATGGCCTCTTATGTCCTCCTTGGGCACTACACTGTGGGGACCTAAAGGCCCCACCTTGCATAGGTCCGAAAGGAAGTTACTGGGGGTGCAGCCTGGCTTGCTTTGAAAGTCTGAAGAATACTTCCACACCGCTGAGGAGTGCATGATCAGCAGGGACCATCCTTAAGATACACCCTGAGGAGGGGATTTCCAGGTGCCTTTATAAGCTCTGTAATACCTGCAATAAATGAGTCCCTGCTTGACTAGACTCCCCATTGCGCCTGAGTGTTCATGATACAAGGGGGGCGGCATGGACTGGCGAACAGCGTGCTTACTCATCCCTAATCATCACTACCCGGGGGTCGCTGGTTCAAACCCCCTGCACTGCACAACACGGGTGCACTTACCTACATGCAGGCAATACACGCATACACATAAAATAAAAATAATAAAAAAAAATTTTTTTGTCTTTTTGAGACAGGGTCTCCCTATAGCCCCAGCTGTCCTGGAAACTCACTATGTAGACCAGGCTGGCCTTGAACTCACGGAGATCCACCTGTTTCTACCTCCTGAATGCTGAGATTAAAGGTGTGCGCCACCATGCCCAGCTTAAAATAAAATATTTTTTAAAATATTAATCATGTCTCAAACACCTTCATAGTAACATCTAGACTGATATTTGACCCAACAACTCCGGGCACCATCACCTGGAAACTGACATGTAAAATTAACCATCTTTCCTGCCTCATGTGGTTCAACCAGCGCTGAGAGCCCTGCCCTGATGTTGGGAAATGCTGTCACAGAACCCTTCACTTCTATGAAGCCAACTTTGTGTCCTTCCTGAAACCTCTTTTCTTTTTTAAAAAAATATTTTTATTTTAGGGGTATGAGTGTTATGTCTACATGTGTGTAAGTGCACCTGTATTGTGCAATGCCTGTGGAGGTCAGAAGAAGGCATCAGATTCCCCCAGAACTGGAGTTATGGACAGTTGTCAGCTGCCATGTGGGTGCTGGGAATTGAACCCAGGTCCTCTGTAAGATCGGTCAGTGCTCTTAACTACTGAGCCATCTCTCCAGCCAGGAAACCTCTTTTCTTAAAATATTTTAATTTTTTTATGTGTATGAGTGTATTGCCTGTATAAGTGCACCTGTGTCCTCCAAAGACCCATGGAAAGCATCAGATCCCCTGGAACTGGAGTTATGGATAGTTGTTAGCCGCCATGGGGGTTCTGGGAATCAAACCCAGGTCCTCTGCAAAAGCAGCCAGTGCTCTTAACCACTGAGCCACCTCTCCAGCCCCCTGAAACCTCTTTTCAAAGCCCAAGTTTTCTTTTCCCAGTCTCTTATCTGCAGCTCTACTACACTTCCAAAGCACCTGCTGCCCTGTGTCTCCCTTTTCCACCCTGAGGGAACCACACTTGCCAGCTAGAGAGAAGCCAGGAAAAGACTTGACTGGAGTTACAACCCACCGTAACAGCAAGAACAAAATCATGGATTGCAATATCACAAAATAATATAATAAAGAATTAAATAGCATATTGCAATATAGACAGCCTTGCAAAGTAGGATCCGGTGGAAGGGTATAGCTATCGGCTTGACTGCAATCACTGTAGACTGATGGGGAAGGACAAGGGGCGGAACTCAGTGAGTGGCCCAGAAGCACCCAGCGGGGCCCTTGTAGCCACCACTTCCACTAAGGGATAGCTCTTGTTTTTTCTTCTTTTGAGTCAGGGTCTCTACCCCAAGCTGGCCTCAAATTCACTATATAGATGAGGATGATCTTGAACTTCTGATCTGTCTGCCTCCACCTCCCCAGTACTGGCATTACAGGCATTACCACCACACCCTGCTGATACAGTACTGGGCTAGAACGCCTGTATGCCAGGGGAGCTACTGCTAACTTCGCTCCATCCCCAGCCCACTGAGTGATCCCACTCACCTGTCACAACATGTCACATGGGGTCTGTGTCTCACCCGTAAACTGTCAGCATGGAGAGAGAACAGGCCTGCAAGGAGGTAATCTCCTGGAAGGTTGAAGCCGGGAGAGGATTCTGTCTTGTGGCAGCTGAAGGCCCAGCAGTAGGTGATGGAGAGCTGCAGGCTGATGAGGTTAGCCGCCCAGAGTAGCATGCTGACCAGATGTCCCTGTGCCCAGCATGGCCGAGCAGCCCCTCTGCGGAGGCTGGCTGCTTAAATACAGTGAATGACAGCTGCCCAGCTCCATGCCTTGAAAAGGGGTGGAACTGGGGAGCAGGCTGTTGGGCCTGGCTTTCCTGCCCTGTGGTCTCACACAGGAACTGGGCAGGGCAGGGGCGAGGATGCAAACCAGCCCCCCTCCGCGCGACCCCTTCTCTGGATGGTTGTGGGTTCGGTCTTTGTTCTGGTACCTTTGGTTTCACCTGGCTCAGGAGGAGAGTCCTGGCAATGGGGGCGGGGCAGGGAGGGTGGGGCACAGTTTCCCAGGGTGTACGGAAGGGCAGGGTTGTTACCTCCGAGCTGAAGGCTTTGTTTTGTTTTGTTTTGAGCAGCCTGGCCAGGCTGTTAACCAGGCTGGCCTCGAACTCAAGGCCTCAAGCCTGGGAGGAACAGACTACCTTAGAGGCTGTCACTACCTCCAACCGGCTACATAGTTTGGTAAATCTCACTTAGCAAACCTGAGACCAGGCTTTGAGTTGACACCCGGAGGCTCCCTGTTCAGACATTCAAAGTGAGAGCTAATAAATCACGGTTTAATCTTACTACCCAAGGTTGCTCCCCTCTCAGCCCAGAGACAAATGTATGCAAACTGACCACATGCAAATAGACTGGATTTGTTTAAAAGGCCAATCCTGAGGTTTTTTCTGCAGGAAGAAAAAAAAATCCGCAGGTGGATTTCCGGAGAGGTGGCCTTGCGGCTAAATCCGGGGCTTTAGGCTTGCCGGCTCCAGTGGGCCTGGGTGGGGCTTTTGCATAATGTAAATGAGTCTCTCATACGACCGCGAAGCCTCGGGGCGCTGAGCTCCCTGCTGTGCTACCGGGAGCGGTCAGCAGAGGGCGCCCGGAGCGCCAGGCCACGCCTCCCGGGGCGGGGCAACGGTGTCTCCCGAGATCCTCCGCGTCTCCCCAAAGCCGTCACATCTCGCGAGATCCTTCTGCGGGAGGCGACGCGGAGCGAGCATGGCTGACGCGGAGGTGATCCTCAGGCGGCCTCCGTGCCGCTCCCCCTCGTTGCTGGTCCGCAAGGCGCGGTCCCAGCTCCTCTTCAGCCGCCGAGCCCGTCGTCGGCTCGCGGCCCTGAGCCGGTGCGAGCGGCGGCGGCTGCGGCGGCGGCTGCTGCGGGCCCAGGCGGCCGGCGTTGACTGGAGGGCGGGCGTGAGCCTCAGCGCGCGCTCAGCTGCCGCCCGGAAGG